AAGAAGAAAAGGTAACCCTAGTTCCAGGGCCCCCATTGTGCATTCCAGTCCTTGGGGATTACCTCAAAGTGAGGGTGTAACCCACGGTTCTGACCATCTAAGAACATGCCATAGGCAAATGTAACTTGCAAAGTTACAAAAGTTTCCCTATGCAGGAAATTACATTCCAGGCCCACAGAACAAACTGTCATTCCTGCAGGAATTGTCTTGTTACCAGTGGAACGTTTTTCTTGATCAAGGGATTTAAAATGCTAAAGATTTTAAAGAGCCATAATTCTTGTTCTTACTACAACTATTTTTTTGTTCTGTTTTGTTTTGTTTGAGGAAGACTAGCCCTGAGCTAACTGCTGCCACTCCTCCTCTTTTTGCTGAGGAAGACTGGCCCTGAGCTAACATCCGTGCCCATCTTCCTCTACTTTATATGTGGGACACCTACCACAGCATGGCTTTTTGTCAAGCGGTGCCATGTCTGCACCCCAGATCTGAACCGGCAAACCCTGGGCTGCAGAATCAGAACATACGCACTTAATCCCTGTGCCACCGGGCTGGCCCCATCATAACTATTTTTATTTTTAGCTACTACCTTGCAGTCTTGGTCTACATACAAACATAGTTTCTGTCAAGGAATAAACTATTTATATTCTACTTTTTTATGTGACTTATTCATTTACCAGTACAGTTCTCACATTGTCCTATAAAAAAGCTCCCAAATAGACCACCTTGTAAAAGTTGTATGCTATTGAATATGAATATTACATTCAGGTTTATACTATAATCAGCCTCTTTATGAGCATAGTTTTATTCTTTTTTATTTTTCTCTTTACTAGATTATATTCTTTGGTAAAATTATGAAGCCTTTGATGCTTTATATCTGTAATGCATTCTCCTATCAAAATGAGAGTGGCCCTTTGTTAACAAACAGTAGATTCTTCATCTAATACAGCCAGGGGTTTGATCTGCGGGCTGATTTCACACTTGGAGAAACTGAGGTACGAACACATTCAAATGGACCTGCCCTTAGAATCAATTCATGCAACATGCTCACCTCATTTTAAAATGGCCGGGAAAGCAGTACTGCATACTTCAGCAGTGGAGCTCCGTGACCAGTCGCCCGGCACTTCAAGAGAGAAAAGCCACCCTGGACTCGCTGTCAGTCAAGAGCAGAAGTAAAGCAATGGAAGAGGAAGTACAATAAGAGAATCAGAACAAACACCCTGCTACACACACATTGTGTGCAGCAGGAACAAAGTGCAAGGGAGCTCAGCGTGCTTGAAGAGACAGGATGTAAAGCTCTCCTTCTGAATGGGTATCAGGTCCTATCGAAGTCTATTGTCTCCTGGAGCCCAGACCTCACAATGTCCCATTGTGACAAATGCAAAGACAAGGTGGTTAAATCCCAGTTTTCCAGATCTCTGCCTTCATTTTCAGTCTCCAGGACTCTACCCCTGAGGATGGTTCTGCTCTCACTGCCTGGGCTGCCTCCCTGCTGGCTGTGTAAGTAAGGATGGTAACCAGGCTCCTTGCTCTGGTTTGAGGACACTAGAAATCTCATGACCTTGCTCTGATTTTTGTTAAGTGTCAAGATGATAGCATATGTTTCCAGAGAGATGACATGGGAAAAACTATCTCTGGAATTGCCACCCCAGAGCCTACTGCAGATCCGCAAAGCCACCTTTGGAACAAGAGGGATGCTTCACACACAAGGAAGATGCTCTTAAGGGTTTCATGCAAGTCAGTGGATGCTTGATATTTTCACTTTAAAGGGCATTTAAAGGCCAACTTCAATTGCAAGAGACTGTTTTGGTGTAAGTAAGCCTGGAATGGGCATTAATACTAAGTAGATTTTAAATCCATGGACTAAAACAACTGTACGGCTACGGAATGTTCTTCTTGCACACAGATGTCTGGGTCACATGACATCTTTGCATTGCCGTAGACTGCACAAGGACTGGGTAACCAGCCAATTGGAAATGGTTAATAAGGAGGCATTGCGATGATGGGAAATTGCCTGCAAATCATCTATTTCATACCTCACCCCTTAGATGGAGAAGGTGATGGCTTCTATCAGGGAGGTTTTGCATTGCTTGCTGGTGGTTTCTACAGAGAAGCAAGGAAATGAAAACCCCAATATTTCAAAGAAGGGAAAATGTTGTCAGTACCAGAATGGTCTGTGGTTGTGTTCTTTGCCTTTTCCTTTCCATGTGGGTCAGAGGATGTTGGTACAGATTGAGCTGGGTACAAGACCCCAAGACAAGAATGCCTGCCAGACTTGGGGTACACAGAAAGGAGAGGCTGGGTCTGGGGTCTCTTAGGCTAATTCCTTTGAAAAGGAATGAGTTGCAGAGTCTAAAGTATATTCTTATGTCTCGTCAGGGAGCCTGTGAAGTGTAACTGGAAGAAAAGCATCCAAGCCCCTGACACCCCTTCCCTGGGTGACCATGGGCTAACTGCTCAGCCTCCCTGCTGTGTCCCTTGCTCTATCTATAAAATGCAGGTGATAATTGTCCTATCTTCCTCACTAGGATAGTCTTGAGGAACAAAGTGACCTAACGTAGGTAAAAGTTCTTTATAAAAGTCAGTTATTTGTATTTTGTGTTGATTAACAAGCATTATAGGGAAGGATGGTCCTTGAGCTGCTCCCACGGCACACTTCTTTCATGAACCACTAGTAACAGGTGTACCACTTCTTAGCACCCCTACCTCCCGTTTTTACACTGATGAGTTGATAACTCCTTTCCATATTTGCAGAAGTTGTATTTCTTCCTTTCCTCCATGGGGGTCGGGGTGTTGGGGGACTACTAATAACTTACTCAGCTTAACAGGGAGCCCATTAGGTCTAAGCTCCATGGGAAAGGTGGAAATAGGCTAAGGGAGGTGGAAGACTTACTGGGAACCAAACCACAATGCCCATTTCTCCTGTTAGGACCATTTGATCAAACCTAATTTTGGATGAACAAGACTAAGGTGACATTTTCTAAATCATGTTATGATCTTCTTAACTTAAAATGTCTGCTTTTATGTGTCTAGCTGTGTTACATACTTTTAAGATTCTTTGAGTCTCAGCTCTTTAGATCTATACCCAATCCCCTGATTCATTAAGGTGTTAATCTCTTTCCTATCTGACTGTAAAAGAATAGAACTATGTATGTATCTAGGTAAGCACTGCATTCTCTCCACCAGCCTTGGTGAATACATAGGTATGGGTGACTGAATGTCACGTGGAAACTTTGACATGATATAACAGAAAAATAATAAGTTATCCTTCCATGTAACTTGTTCAAGCTGTTTCCCATCTGTGAAATGAGGAGTGTGGATTAGATGATCACATCAAGTTCAAAAATTGAGTAAACAATATCCTTTCACTACCCATTTTCTCCTCTGCTTCTGCCCCCACCCACCCACTCCTCCTCCTCCCCTCCAAGAGTTAGTTAAATAGTCAACCCATTCCATAGGGCCAGGGAGGGGAGACGGGTGGGTCCTCATGGATTCCTCTGGTCCACTCAACCCTCACTCATCTTCAAAATATTCACTAATAGGAAAACCCAAGATTTCTCCAAGCAGGTTTAGTTCAGGTCAGCAATCATGTGGGGATTGGCTCTTAGAAAACACAATTTGTGCTAGGCTCTGGGAATACAAAATGAGTGCCTGCCTTTGAAGGGCCTTTCCTTCTTAGTGGAGGAGAGAGTCAGGGAAACAGAACTGTAGTATGATGAAGTCAGTGCTCTGCAAGGCACAGGCTCAGGTAGGGAGGAGCACAGAGCAGGCACTGGAGGACCTGGAGCCAGTCAACTGGATCTCTGTCAGTAGACAGATCTCACAATAATGTGGGTCCAGATTGGTGGGGCTCCAAGGATAGCTAGCTTATACTAAATGGAGTAAATCACCAAGTGCTGGAATTCTAAGGACAACTGAGCTATTTTCTAAGCATTCTAATACAATCAGACTTCATTATGCTGGAAGTGAGAGACCAGTGGCCGGAGACCCAGGTCTTCATTAACCTTCACACAATAGGGCTGATAAAGTCCTCTCTTCAAACAATGTCTTGGCAATCACTTTATCAGATGTAATTACATTTTCTAATCTTACAGTGACTTTCTTGCAGGTACTGAGGGACTCAGGTTAAGGATCTTCCCCAAGGTTATCTGTTTAGGTTCTGTCCAGTTTGAGGTTGCAGGTCTAAGCTTTATTAAGCATTGTCTTGGCTCTACAGGTGGTGTCACAGCAAAGCAACCCCCTAAACCCAGACAGATTGACCCTCGATACTAGGGGCCATCTAATCAATGTCTATCTCTGAACAATGTCATCACTACACTGCCCATGCCCCTCCCTTCTGCTCGTGGAGCCCGAGATTGATGCAATCTCAAAGGCATTTGGTGAAATTCCGACTGAGGAGGTGCCTGGTTTGCTCAGTGTGATCACCTGAGGTATATTCACTTCGCAGGTGAGGTTAGGATTGCACATGAGGCTCAGGGTTGCTAGACCCAAAGATTTCACTTACTAGGAGGCTGTAAGTGTGATGATGTGATTAGAGACAAGATGCCTGGTCTGAGATTGTGTTAAGAAACCACAGGGAGAGGAGTCTCTCAGTTCAGTTACATGCTTGGTGGTCATCCAACACTTCTTATTTGCGAGTTAATTAAAGAGAAGAATAACTTGGGGTGGGGGACAAGGGAGGGAATATACTGGTGTATATATATATATCATTAACCTTAAATATCTTAAAGTTCCCAATTCTTTCTTTTGGTGAATTCCTCTCCTTTTGCAGAAATATTTTCCTAGTAGTTTTAGATGCTATCCAGCTCTGATCGTGCTGCTTGCGTAGTACTGATTTAAGCAGAAGCCCCTTTACCCTCTCAGTAAGCAATAATGAGACATCACTATCCACTATACCTACAGCTATAAGATTGAAAAGCTCAGTATTTCTCTCTTTTCAAGTAAAACCTTGAATATCTGTTCAGTTCAATCTTGTAAACTTACAGGTCCGTTCTTTGGAAGTGACTGTGCAATACTTCATCCTGTCCTGCCACCATCAGTCCTCATCCTTTACCTCTGCAAGTTACACCGAAGTTCTTCAGGTGGTAGCTGGTAAGATGTGGGCCAGCAAAGGTGTCCTTATGAAAATGTTCTGCTGTATTTTTATTACAAATTTGTCTTTCCAGAAGTGATAAACGTTTCTGACACCCAGTAAATTTAGACACCATAAGATGGTAGCTGGTGAGATGGGAGAAATTAGCACCTGGCCTGGTGTGCTCAGGGAAGTTATGCTCAATGAAGTTTAGAAGCCTGGTGTCCTGGGGAAACATGGTACCCAAAAAGCTCATCACAACTCTGCCACTAAACCAGTTCTGTGACCTGGAGTCACTGAGCCTCTCCGTCACTTGAAATTTACCTCTTCATGAGGGAACGGGACCTGTGACATGATTTCTAGGTCTAAAATGTGTGTTCTGAGGATTGTGTTGGTCAAGCACAGATAGTCGGATGTGATGCTGGGACTTAATCTTGGACAGGGGGACTTTCTTATACCTTCTTTAACTTTTGGGAACTATTTGCTGTACCTATTTAAAGAAAGTGGTGCTATTAATACTAAGATGAAGACTCTGCCAGAAAACACAAAATCCTGAAACACTTTTTTAGTTATATTTATTGTTAACATTTATTACTAAGTGTGAGGTAAGCTCTTCATAAGGAATTGCTGGGTTAAACCTCACACTAACCTCTGGGGTAGGTACTATTACCATATCTACTTTTGGGATGAGGAAAATGGGGAACAGAGTGATAGGAATGTGCTCAGGGTCACACTAGTAAATAAAGGAGCTGGGGCCAGAATGAATCCAGACCTTGTGTTCTTTACTATTATTCACAGTATCTAAAATTCACAGTGATCTGAATTGCATCTTGTCTGTGAACACCAGGGAATGCACATAGCAATCAGTGTGTTATGCAGGGCTGGGACTGGGACTGACCTAAAATGCCCCTTTATTTACATGAACTTGGGGTTTTGTTTAAATTTCCTTTGTAGTCTTCTAAGATAAAAGCTGTAAGTTCTTGCATGAATCAGAAGAAGAAAATGTCAAAAATGCTTGTGGGGGAAAGGAGAGTATGAAATATAATTAGATGGTTGAAGGAAATGATCAGTTTCAAGCTGCTTTAATCAACTGAATTGCTCTCCATTTCTTGTACAAATAGAATGGGTTGTTCAAAGCCGATACACGCTCCTATCTTTGGGGAGTCATCACTGTGGCTGGCACAGTTCCTGAAGATGTTTTAATAACTCCTCCCTGCCTCCACTCCTCCCATCTCCAATTAGGCAAATCAGACCTGGAGGCCTGAGGACCCCGCCTTTCTGTAACACGTAGTGGCAAGAAAGTTGCGTGTAAGCAAGCAAGCTATGCAAAGAATTTGTAGAGGGCAAAGAAGTTCACGAATGGAACGGCCTCCAAGCTCCCCAAAGTATCTCATTTCCAATCTTCCTTTGTATCAGAGAACATGGTCTGGAAGTACAGCCAGCCAGAGTTAAAAGACAAAGGCCATTTTCCATGAGGGAGGGCCCCTCTCCACTACCGCCCTTCCTCTCATATTCTTACAAGTGATGATTTGCTGGCCCTCTAAGTGTGAAATCTCCCTTGACTCTCCCCTAGACGGCCCTGCCTCACAGCTAACACTGAACTCTCCGACAACCTCCTCTTGTCAGTAATCTATGGACAGGTAGCCAAAAGAAGTGGGTGGAAGAGGACATTCAGGCCGAGGGAGCAGCCTGTGCAAAGGCCAGGAAAAGAGAGAACACGCAAGTAGCTCACAAACACTGAGCAGAGGTTCCCCAACCTGGCTGCCCATTAGAATCACCTGGGAGCTTAGGAAAGTCCCCATGCTCATGCTGCACCCCAGGTTAATGAACAGGACCTCTGGGGTCAGGACACAGATATCCATGATCCCAAGTGCACCCATGGCTGGGAGTGCAAAAAGTGAGCCCAAGGAAAGGCCAGGGATGAGGCTGAGAGTGGCGTTGGAAAGTATGTGGAGGAGTACGTGGAGGAGACTCATTAAAGTCCACCTGTAATCAATTTTCTGTTTTTTTAATTATGAGAGGAGCATGACCAGATGCTGCAGGTTAATAAGGAATGGGAAGACAACAACGGCGAAGCAGGAAAGACAGTAAAGAGGCTGCTGTAATAGCCAGACAGGAGATGGCAGTGTCCGGCCAGGCCTAATTCCAGATGCAGTAAGGATACAGAGCACACAGAAGGTGGGGTTGAGATAGTGGAGGAAGTGATACTAGAAGAGTCAGGGAGTGTGGACAGTTACATGACCAAAGGGGATGAAGAATGAAGAGTGGGTCATGGCTATCCAAAGCAGCCTCCCAGGCCTCTTCTGCTACTTTTCAAGAAGTGCTATGTGGGACAAGCTGATGAGACCAGCAGCTTCTGGGCCTCTGCACTGTGCTGTCGTCCTGGCTGTAGGAGTCACTCATTCCCCACAGGTGAGTAGACAGAACCAGAAGAGCAGGAGTTACCATCTCCAGGCCAGCAGTGATCTGCACGTACACTTAGGGCCCTGAGCAGGTTCCATCAGCATCATAGAGGCATCTGTAGAATGACCATCTTCTCCAAACCAAAAATTGGAACACATGAGCCAACCAGGAATTTTTATAATATTCAAGTATAATCTCAGAGACATCATTTGGATATCAAAATAGTGAAGATTCTAGGTCCTTTTCACTTTTTATGTGAATATAAAGATTAGATATATAAAATGGGACTATCCCAGAAAATTCTGGAAACATAATCTCCATAATCATACATTGCATGTATTGTCTACTTGGTAGAAAACGTTCACCAAAAATGAGGACATTAGCATAGAAGGAGTAGCAAGTTTTCTCACAAGTAAACTCAGAAGCGGTACTCAATGTAGCCACCCAACTTAATTCAGTTCTACTCTGTGCTCTCTCTGTCACGTTATTTTTAATTATTGATTCAATTTTACAAAGTGAACATGAGCATCAATCTTCTAAAGTCTTTCATAACTCAAATCTATGCAAAGTTGTTTTGGAGAAGAAAGAGGAACCAAGAAATAAAGGAGTTTCCAGAAATGACAAAATAAAAATAAAATCCTTTATGTCTATAGGAAATAAAGGTAATTTGAATTAGGAAATAGAGCTATGAGGAAGAAACCCAGCCCAATGCTTGCAAATTTAGCTAAGTATTTAGCATTCAATCCATTCTTAGATTTATTTCAGTTAAAGGTACCAATAAATTATAGTGTTGAACAAAGATGCTGAACTGCACAGCAGGTCCCAACCTGGCCGTGTGTGCCTCACATTGTCTGTGGGCTCCTAGCAGCCCCTCCTTTCCGACTCTCAGGTGCAGCTTCTGTCTCATGAACCCCTGGAATAACTAAGTGTTTCTCCACCCTACTGCCCATTAGAATCACCTAGGGAAAAAATTTCCAGAACTATTAGATTGGACTCTAGCATTGGGTCCTTGGCATCAATATTTTTTAAAAACTCCCCAAGTGACTAATGCATTGCCAAAGTTGAGAATTCCTGAATGAGCTAGATGATTTCTATATTCTCTTTAAAAAGCTGGGTTTCTATTTAATGGTGCACTTCTCCCCCAGACTCTCCTTCCAAAGAGAAAATCCAGAATAGCACAAGCTTCCTTTCATTTTCAGCTATGAGAGATACACGTGCATACACCATATATGGAGGTCAAGACCGACGTTACAAAAGGGGAAATGCTTTCAGACTTTAAGCATGACCCTTAGCACCATGATGGTTTGGTTTGTTTTAAGGAGAAATTCCAAATTGCTTCTGAAAGGTATTTGGTGCTTTCAGGTGCACTGAAAGGTCCAGGTGAACAAGAAGAAAATGAAAATGGACAGAGCCCTTTGCCCGGGTGAGGGCTGTGTGGTGAGCCCAGCACTCACATGGGAAACTGGCTCGCGGTGGCCGTAGCATTCCTGTTACTAACCTTTATGCCAGTGGAGTGAGCAGTTTCTCTAAATACAATAGAACCTCTGCCACTTTGAAGATAAGCTCACACAGGCTGCTTAAAACAATAATTCTGTACTTTCTTTCCTGTTTCTAGATTTATTTTAAGTATTAGTATAAAATGTCAGAGCAGCTGATAGCAGCCAGATCAGTTTGTATAAAACTCGACTGCCTGTTTGTAGTATATTACAGCTATATTTGACACCGGAAAGCACTTAATCATGCATGCTATCAGCCCACCACACCCACCTTTGTGAGGACCCTTGGAGGCTATGAGATTTATCACTGTGAACTTGAACTGGATGGACAGCCCTGATGGATAATACAGGCTGCTTCTGAGAAGTTAGGGCTAAAAGTGTACCATCCACAACCCAACGGCCAAGAGAAAGGTCAGGAATTCAAAGCCACCCCCAGGAATGGTCTGAGTGTGTTCCGTCTATGCCCTGATTTTATCTCAAGCTGACAAAATTTTATAAGTGTAAATCTGATGACTTTCTAAGAACCTTCCCATGCCCCATTTTGCCTCCAAAATTGCCTGTTCTGAGGGCACCACATTTTCCTCTTTCAGGCCAAGTGGTAAGTGACACTGCTCAAACAGAAAAGGCTAGCTTTCATGCGACATTTTTCCAGTTAACCAACCTCCTTTCCTGTGTATCATTTCATTTGCACCTCAGCGCCCTGGGAGGCTGGCACAGTGGGTGAGGGTGGGGGGTTATTCTCTCCATTTTACATAGTGGACGTCTGAGGCTCATAGAGGTAAGGGAGCAGCCCAGGGGGAAGCTGTCCACAGGGGACTCGATACAGAAAACCCATCCCTAAATGCTTCCTCTTAAATTTGAAGCACTTGGGCCATGTGATCTGGTGTCTGCATTTGACTAGAAGTCAAGAAATTTGGATTCCACTCTTGGTTTCAGCGTTCTGTGGTGAATATGTGACCTTATACAAATTACCTCTGCTTCCACCTCTGAAACGGGGATGCCCCCAGATGAGGGTGCATATCTCGGAGGATTGGTGTACGATGGATAGGAAAATACTGTCATCTGGTCATTAAACATTAATAATTTAAACATCTATTTGGAATCATGCTCTGGAGACAGACTGACTGGTCACAGCTCAGCTCTTCCAAGGCACTTAGTAATGCCTCCCAGCTTCAGTTTCCTTGTCTGTAAAAGAGCAGTGTAGAATCTCACAGATTTTTTTCTTTTTATTATGGACATTTTCAAAAATATTTTTAATGGCACAGGGAATAGTAGCATGAACCACCATGTATGCATCACCTAGCCCCAAGCATTTTTTTCTGAATTCCTTGAAACCAAATCCCAAGCATCATGCCATTTCACCCATCTTGACTAATCAGGCTATGTGTTTTCTAACATTACTGCCAGGCCATTGTCACATCTAGCAAAATTAACAATAATTCTTTAAAATCATCTAATATTTAGTCCACAGTCAATTTCCCTGATTGTCTCAGAGATGTAGTTTTACAATTGGCTTTTTCACTTAGAAGGCAAATAAGGTCCAAATGTTAGATGTGGTTACTATGTGTCTTAAGTCACTTTTATTCTATAACAGTTCCGTCTCTCTCTCTCTCTTTTAAAATCATAACATTATTTGTTGGAGAAACCATATCATTTATCTTGAAGAATGTTCTGCATTCTGGATTAGGCTGATTGCTTCCTTCTAGTGGTATTTAACTTTTTCCCTCCATTTTCCATATTTCATAGGTTTCGTGGTAAGGATTATATGAGTTAATACCTGTAAAACACTTAGCACCTGTACTAGTTTGCTAGGATTGCTATAACAAAGTATCACAAACTGGGTGGCTTAAAAAACAGAAATTTATTGGGGCTGGCCCGGTGGCATAGTGGTTAAGTTTGTGTGCTCCACTCCAGTGACCTGGGGTTTGCAGGTTTGGATCCTTGGTGCCAACCTATGCACCACTCATCAAGCCATGTGGCAGCATCCCACATGGAAGCACTAGAATGACCTACAACTAGGATATACACCTATGCACTGGGGCTTTGCGGGGGGGGAGAGGAAGATTGGCAACAGATATGAGCTCAGGCCAATCTTCCTCAAAAAAAAAGCCCCCAGAAATTTATTATCTCACAGTTCTGGAGGCCAGAAGCCCAAGATCAAGGTGTTGGCAGAATTGGTTCCTTCTGAGGGCTGTGAGGGAAAGATCCATTCCAGACCTCTCTCCTTGGCTTGTAGATGGACGTCTTCTACCTGTGTCTTCACGTCATCTTCCCTCTATTCGTGTCTCTATGTCTAAATTTCCCCTTTCTGTAAAGACTCCAGTCAGACTGGATTAGGACCTACCCTAATGACCTCATCTTAACTAATCACATCTGCAATGAGCTTATTTCCAAATAAGGTCACATTCTGAAGCATTCTGAATTAGAACTTCAACGTATGAATTTTGTGGGGACAAAGTTCAACCCTTAACAGCACAATACCTGGCATATTGTAAAATTTATATAAATATTAGCTAAGTTGTCAATCATTCCATCAATAACATGCTATACTGTTACTCATTTAAGGATTAAATGAGTTAATACATGTAGAATATTGAACACAATTCCTAGCACATAGTAAAATTTCTATAAATATTAGCTATTATGCAGTAACATGTTACAATGTTACTTATTTAGTAATAGTTTTTAATATTAATTTATATTCATGTTACAATGTTACTTCCTTAGTAATTTTTTAATACTCATTTAAATTCATTAGACTCAGTAAGAATGAGCCACAGGCCAAATAAATTTTAATAGGTAGGTGGACAGGAATAGGTCTGCAAATCGGGAGCCTAGAGGGAAAGAGTGAGCCTCAGTGGGCACCAGGCCAGCTCAGAGCCCCAGCTCAGGACAGTCACCTCCTGACTTCCCTGTTTCACCAGCTACACCACCCTGGGCAAGTCGCTTCTTCAGACTGAGGTTTCTGTTTCTCTAAAACGATCAAACACTAGATATTCTCCAAGCCCCTTGCACTTCTAAAATTCTAGGTTCTACAAGGAAAAGGATCGTGAAGGACATAGCAGGCAACTGTCATTTAAAAATAGCAAGAAAGCTAGTTCACTATATTTGTAGTATCACAAAAAAACCTAATAAAGAATGTTACCAGTCATTAGGCAATAAATCATTCTTAAAATTTACTAGGAAAAATTATTTTAGTAAAAGTAGCCAGGTTGGCATATGTCAGTCTTCTCAGATTACACCATCATCTTCTTCACTTTGGTTTATTCCCATTTTTTATCTATTTCATGGATCATTTTTATTTTCTTTTTATATGTGAACTTCCTTTGCTCTCAGTGTTGTTAGTGGTCCGTTCTTTCTTGTTTTCTAAGCCTCTAACCAATCACTTTCTTTTCCATTTTTTTATCACTAAATTCTCTTTCTTGACTTGTTTTCTCTTTTATTTCCCTTCTTGGTACATTTTCTTCTTTCTCTTATTCATTTCTCTAAATTATTATTCTCTAAACTGGATGAAAGAGCCAAAGTTTCTTGGTACAAAGATAGAATCACTTACAGCATCTCAATGAGATTTCGTCCTGAAAACTCTCTGTGTACCTTTTTCAGATGAGAGCAGTAACACAGGAAGTTGCCCAGCTGGGGATGAAGACACAAGAGCCTACTGCAGAACCACAGCTTCTCAGACCTTTGTACGTGCACAAGCCCTCTGTCTCACCTCCAATAGAAAGCCATCCATCCCCTGTGGGAATATTTCTCCCGGGGTAACAACTTTACTAGGAAACTCAGCTAAGAGGCACATTAACTGTCCAGCAGCCTATTGGGAAGAGTGGTAGAGGGGGCGATGTTAAGTCAGGAGGAGATCGTGTGTGTGGACCAGGAGAAATACAGCCTTTCATGACATTGAGCATTGTGAGAAGAGTGAGAACACATTTTCAGATCATCAGAAATGATTACCAATTGAAAAGAACGCAGTGTTGCCTTTGCCATAATGAGAGGGGCTGAGAGGGCAGCTACAGCAAGGATGTGGAGAGAAGCAGGGACAGTGAGTCTCCAGCAGCAGGGAGAACAGGGGCCACCCAGACCAGGAGACAGCATCTAGAGGACTGGGGACAGTGGGCTATTGCTCTGGCATCTTCATTTTCTGTTCCCTTCCACCCACTAGGCAGCCTTTGAATCTTGATTTAGCTTCCCTAGTAGACTTTCCTCCTGAAAAGACACAGTTCCCCTTAGAAAAAAATGCATGGCCTTTCTGTCTCAGACCAGTTTCATTTGTTTGCACAGTATAAGCCAGATTTCCCCTAGAACCTGATTATCCTGGGTAAGCTGAAAAGCCAAAGTGATATGACCAGAGCTTGGCAACTCTTCAGATATGAGGGATAAACGTTGAAGAAAGAGTCAAAGATAACATTAAATTTCTAAGCCAGAGTTCCCAGAAGGATGATATACTGCATACAGAATAGGAAAAGGTAGAATCTATCAAAGTATTGACCTTCAGGCCTTCCCTCACCACCAACCCTCTATCTTAATATCTTGTGGTGGAGGGTCTGTTGGAAATAGTCTGTAATTTCAGGGGCCATATTTCACTTCCACATTCATTTAATAATAATTATGTATTAGGTGCTTACCACGTGCAGGACACTGAAATGGATGTTATGAGATTGTACAAGGATGAAAGACTTAGCATATCATCCAAGAAGCACATTAGAATTGCGTAGGGAATATAAGGCACATGTATAAGTAATGGAAAATGCAAATGTATTTGATGCTGTCAGCTACAAATAAGAGAAAATTCCAACTTTTAATTTGATTCAAAGAACAAAATAAATGTATTGTCTCACTTACCAAGAAACCTAGAAATACGGTGATTCTGCGATTGGTTAATATAACAGCCTCAGAATGTCCTCATGGATGCAGGTTCTGTCCATCTTTCCCCTCTGCTATCTAGGTACGTTGGCCTTGGTCCTCAAGCTTGTCCCCTCACAGACACAAGAGGGCCACAGTTCCAGTCATTACCTATGACACAACAACATTGGGTCAAAGAACAAGGTCCGGGGTTTCCATTTGATATTCTTTCATTTTTATGGGTAGGAAATCTTCCTTGGATCTTCCCCCTCCCCCTACTTCCTCTATGTCTCACTTGTCAGAATGATGTCACATGATGGTTCTTGTATCAGTCAAAGGCAAAACAAATAATATTAACCTAATAGCTTGGACCAATCAAGGTTCAACACTCTGGATCTGGGAGGGAGCCCTGAATACCAGACATTGACACAAAATCTAGATTCTATTATCAAGGGAAGGAAGGAGGGTGGAGATGGCTGACAGGTGGACAATCAACAGGATTTACTGCAACATGCATGTTGTTGCTGGGACATTTACTTGAAGCTGTTTAGTCCCATCCCACAATTGTTTAGACAGATCTACACCTGGACAATGAAGTATCTGAGAGTCTCCCGTTACTTTGCAAGAGAAAGAGAACACCATTTTCCCCCAGAACTGAGGACAGCTCTTGGGTAAATACAACTGCCATTCATTGTAGCACCATTTATGTGCCAAATACTATATGCCAGGCACTGTGCTAAGCATTCTAGGCCCATGTGCTCACTTAGTTCTTACCACAATCCCGCAAAGTGAATGCCTTATCCCCAATCACACACATTAAAGAAAACAAAAACAAAAGCTGTGCTTCAAGGAAGCTAAGTCACTTGCCAAAATCACATAGCTAAGAAGTGACAGGCAAGAGCCAACCCATTTCCACTTCAGGTCAAAGCCCCTCCTCTTCCAGTATACATCGCTACCACATAATTCCCAAGACAAGCATGTGGGGGGCAGAGGCTTCTAGGGTCTATGTATGACAGTGGGGCTGGAGGGAGGATAGTTTTATGCCCTCCCACAGATACTGTGCTGTTTCAGAATATGAGGCTAAGGGTTGGGGTGAAAAGAAGTCCTACAGAGCTTGTCCAGGGGGCGCCACTGGTTGTTTGAGGACCATCTGGGAATCTGAGAATTAGAGTGGACAGGGACTTCCTTCTCTTTCTGCCCAGGAAAGGTGGATTCTCAGCACTGCTGATTATAAGGGGAGAAATAGGGCTGACTTGAAAAACTATCAGACATATATGCCAAAAGAGCCAGAGTGTTTCATAAAACTTTTTTTTAGAAATTCTGGAATCCACTCTGCATCCATCCAAATTACAAGCAAGCCTACTGACACTGTGTTACACTTCACAACATACAAAGTATTTCCACGTGCACCATGTCCTCTGATATCTGAGGGGTGTTTTTACCCCCTTCTCAGGTGATGAAACTCAGCCTGTAGACCAGCTCTGTCCCTGAGAACTTTCCATGATGATGGAAATCTGCACCTTCCTGCCCAGTATAGTAGCCACAAGCCACATGTAGCTACTGAGCACGTGAAATGTGACTAGTGTGACTGAGGAATTGAATTTTTCAGTTTTAACTAATTGTAGTTTAAATTTAAAAAGCCATACGTGGCTAGTGGCTTCCATAGCGAATGGTGCAGTTGTAGATGTTGAGTGACGTACCCAAGTTAATTGCTTTAGTAAGCTTGACTCCTCTATTTATGGTAACAGATTGCGACAGGAAATCTTCCTGGGTTCCTTGAGTTAATCATCAACCGGATTTAAATGCTGGAAATTAAATTCTGTTGTGAAAACTTCTCAAGTATGAATTTGATAAGGGGAAAGGACCAAAAATAGTTGAAATGAACTTTCCCTTATGTCAGTTCAGTTTGAATTTGTTGGACAATGGGAGCATATTTATTCCATCACCTGAGTGAAGTTTTCCACTTAGGTTATGGGTAAAAGAATGAGCTTCTAAACCCAATAACGCAGGCAATTGCATAAGATGGCCTATTCGTTGAGGGGCATGGCCATAACTGTCCTTCACCTTCTGGGAGAAAAAACAGAATGAGAGTCTCTCTGGCAATTCACTCTGGTAACCACAAATTCCAGAAGGTTCTAGGCATCAAACAGAAATCTTTATGTGACAATATTCCTGCTTGTCAACACTGGTTGGGCCTGCGGAGGGGATGTAGGGAGAGCAGGAGAAGAACTACAGGAAGGCACGAGCTTTCATCGGTGAACTCCCATGCTTTGACGGGAAAGAGGAGTAAAGGGTTAGAGCAAGTCCCCAGGGAAAACATTTCACCTATTTTGGGGGTGTAAATATGGTCGTCTACTAATTTAAACAAATACTTCATCTTGTGATGTGATGAGGACCGTTGTCCCAGACTTTGTAATGCCTTAGATACTGCTGCTTTATTTGGACTCTGCCTACTAAGGAATTTTGGAAATGGTTGAGAAAATCTGCCAATGACAACATCCACACCTCCCACCCAACCATGACCTTCAGGAGGCCTGGGTTGCCCTGTTGCGTGAAGTTGAGGGATTCTCAGCCTGCCTTCAGATAGGTCCCTTCCTTCCTGGACAGATAGAAGGGTAGGTTAGCCGGGCAGGTGACCCTCACCTCCACCCCGGATTTAGTCAGAAACTTCATTTCATCATCATTATTAATAGCTGGGTGTGCTGATGTTTCCTGAAGAACATGATAACAGCCACACAGAATCAGAAGGAAACAAATCCATGAGTCAGCACTTTTCCCTCCTATTTGACAGTTGTGGAGAGGTTCCTGTCTGACCTAAGGATATCTGTGGGGCCTGGGACTCTTGCCCAATGTCTGCTTGAAGATCTCATATTGTGAGCAATAAGGGCACGCAGCCACTGGAATTCATAGGCATAGCAGACGGTCTGTGTGTGATGCCACTCTTTAGCCATCTAGCTACCTAAAGCTGACGAGCAGAACTGCCTCCTTAACTTAATTACAGGGCCATGTCTGTTTCCTGAATTCCAATTATTTTGCCAAAGAGAGGGAACCTAATGTTTACTGAGAATTGTGTTTGAGGTCTCTCCACACATCTCAGATTAGCCTCTTTATCTCCCTGTGAGATCAGAAATATTAACCTAGGTTAGAGATGGGGAAGCTGAGGTTCAGAAAGGGTAAGTAATTAGCCCAAGATCACAAAGCTAATTAGAGGGAGAGTCAAAATTCAAACCCTGACCCATCAGTCTTCTAGTTCCAAACTGCCACTTCAGGCAGCATGATCTAAATGGAAACAGAGTGTCCACTGTTATAGACTGAACTCTGTCCCCCAAGATTCATATGTTAAAGCCCTAGCCCCCAATGTGACTGTCCTTGGAGATACAGCCTTTTGGGAGGTCAGTAAGATTAAATGAGGTCATAAGGGTGGGCCCTAATCCAATAGGACTGATGTTCTTATAAGAAGAGGAAGAGACACCAGAGATCTCTCCCTCTCCATGCGCACAGAGAAGAAGCCATGTGAAGATATAAAGAGAAGAGAAGACAGTCATCCACAAGCGAGGAAGAAAGTCTCACCAGAAATCAACCCTTTGGGCACCTTGATCTCAGACTTTTAGCCTCCAGAACTGTGAGAAAATACATGTCTGTTCTTTAAGCCACCCAGTCTATGGTACTTTGTTATGGCAGCCCTAGCAGACTAATACAACCAGCTTGGGGCCTTGAAGACTTTATCTTCAAAACTCCTCATGTAACACTCAGAAAAACACCACGCCCTAAATCCACATCCCACAACTTCTTATCACTTCCTTATCACTTACCTGCATCTCCAGCAGGATCAGGACTAGGGTGAGATGGGTGAGGCACTTTTCCAGGGCACAAAAAACACAGTAATCTCCCAGGTACACCCCAAAACTCAGCAATTAAGATAAATAACACTTCAATGAAATATTTTTTAAAATCAAAATTAATGCAAAAAATCCATGAGCTTTGGCTACTTTGCAGTTTTGCCCACAACTAGCCATGGTTGAGAGCTTTTTCTCCATGACTTTATCATGTAAGTGGAATTCCTGTGAATGAACCCCAAACTCCATACTTGGGATAAAGGAACTATCCTTTTTCCCCATGACAGATTATTATAAGCTGTTAATAAGAAACAACAAGTTTAGGCTAAGTGCTGGCTGTGTTACAGATTTTGTCCTGAGTGCAGAGTGTTCAATAATGAACACAGGAGATGAAGTCAGCCACATGGAGATGGCAGTCTGCAGAGGGACAGAAACAAGTAAAGGACAGTAACAGTCGACAGTGCTCAGGCTCCAAGTGAGCACATGCAAAGGAGAGTGGACCATGGAAGCAGGCAGAAGACATCTAAGCCTGACTGAGGGCTTCAGGAAAAGGTGTCATGGGGAAAGTGTCATCTCCATTTATCAAATGCCAGAGGCAGGGAAATATGGCTCCAAGCAGAGGAGAAATGTGTGTAAATCCTCAGAGAGGCTGCTGTTTACTGAGTACTTACCATTAGTTGACAAACCACAAGCATCATGGCATTGAAAGCTTGTGACATCCTCTAAGATAGGTGTACTACTTTCTTGCACATCCCCATCTAACCCATCACCAAATTCTGTTGGTTCCACCTTCAAAATAAAGAATCCAACCACCTCTTGACAAATTCATTTCCACCCCCAAGTCTGAGACTCCTAATTGGTCTGCTGGCTTCCTCCTTCGCCTTCTTCAGTCATTTCTCAATTCCAATGCCAGAGCCATCTTTCTGAACCATAAATGTGATTATGCTACTTCTCTGGCCCAAACCTTCCAATTGCTTCTCATTCTCACTCACAGTAAAGTCCAAGAAGTCAAGTAACCTGCCCTGCAAAACCCTCTTCCTGTTAGCTCTCTCACCTCATCTCTTTATAACAACTCTATAATTGACTGACTTTGTTTACTGTTTGTATTCTCCACCAACTGCCCAAACAACCACCAAAAAAACCTGTTGATGAAGTCAAGTTAAGTTTATTAGATTTACTGCAGTAAGGAAGGAGACCATCTTGACAGAATCTTACTAATATTTAAAAATGAGAAGTTCGAGCAGGCAATTTGTAGGGGTTTAGGGCTTGGGCTAGGTGATGTTAAGAATGATCTCGCAAGGTGGGGAATGGATCAGAATCGGACAATTTATGACA